GAGACCTTAAAGACGAATCAGCGTTGGCGATCGAATACTGGACACTGCACCCCTGTGTCATCCATGTGCCTGCAGAACACGAACTGTTTCGTTTTTCTAACTGAAAAGTTTCACGAACTGTTGCTGACTGATTGTGTTTTACAATACAACTCTTCTTGTTACTATAATTTGCTTTTGTTGTGTTTTAGTGAAGAAAACTGTTTGGTGGCGTTTCATTTGGACGCTAGTGCGTGCAGCGTTAAACAACAAACAAACAAACAAACAAACAAACAAACAAACAAACAAACAAACCACAAAATGCCTGTGTCATTTCAGTCTTCGCCCCACTGTCTACATTTCATTTCTGAATTTCTGTTCGCTTTGGCAACATCAGAACAAGGTACCTGGCAAGCAAGTTCAGCTTAAACCTCATATATATCGGTGACCTGTTACCGTTGAATATGAATCCAAATTCCTTTCCACTGATTTATCAAACTTTACTTAAAAGACAGAAGACTTGTTCGTGTGCTTTGAATCTGTGCATAAATATTCAAAGTGACGAAATATATCAAAAGGCAAGAGGGATGACTTCAACTGACTCTTCATGGCGAACAATATTCCAACAGTTTCAGTCTTTGGTGCAATCGATGTTTTATATAGACCGTCATATGACACTTACTCAGGAGTTGTTTGATTATATCACAACACTTATGGCCTCGGTTTTATTATAGACATGTCCAAATCAGGGACGTACCCAGGAAAGAAATGAAGAGTAGGCACAACTGGACGTGTGGGTGCGCGTAGCACACAAGACCTTCTAGGAGGGCTTGTGGGCATGTCCTCTCAAGGAAATTTTCTAAAAATGGTTGCTCTAGACAACATTTCCTGCTATATTTTCCGGAAAAAGAGTATTTCAAACTTTTCATAAAAATATATTTTCATAGGGAAGTTACTGAAATTGAACTGATAAATTTAGTATTCTAACAAATATTTTATAACATATTTAAGCAATGACAAAACAGTTCTTTCAGGAAAAGTCATTATTCTATTTGGCCATTACTGTTATGTACCTGCTGATTTACTTTTTATCAAAATAAACAACAACTTTCCATGCATTTTCTTGAGGGTAGTTGTGGGGTTAACAGAAGTCAATATACAGGTTATATGCATATAGAAAGATATGTTGACTGGTGCTAGTTATATCTGATGAAGCCAATTGGTGCATGTAGTGTTGTTAATACATATCGAATGCTAGAATGCTACCTCCTGATTACTTTATATATAAGCATGAATTGAACAATTGACAATTATGTAGAAGAAAGAGAAAATAAAGTCTGTATTCTGAGGAATAAACTCTATAGCTGTCAGCTCGTTATGTACAGTCTTAAATGAAATCCATGTGCCTCGTCTTTTGAGCAGCAATAACTCTTAATGCCTTTGTAACATTAAAACATATGTATGATATAAGAGGAACAATGTTGGATTACAATTATGTTATACACATCTTGCCTATATCCTGGAAACAAACTATTAGAAATAACAGGATGATACCTATCAACAATATGAACATTACCATTTGTAACAAAAGCCTCATTACAGTCTCAAAAGGATCAAGACTTTTCTATGAAAGACATATCGGATGACAGTAAACTTAGATATGTTCGAAATGGGAAAAAAACCTTTTTAATTGTGACTTTGAATGGCATAAGATATTCAGTATTTATAGATATGGTTTAAAATATGTTAAACTTCTTGATTTTCAGTTTAAATTCTTACCTGGAGTAATATATTCCAAAATGGAGCTTTTGAAAATGAAACTAATAGATTCTGTCATAGAAAAAGTATGCAGTTTTTGTAATGACCTACAGGAAACAATCTGTCATGTATACTGGAATTGAAAGGAAACTAAGACATTTTGGAATGAGCTTGAGATCTGGATCAATAAATACCTCAACAAAGAAATCAAAATATCAAAATATCTGGTTTGGTTTGGTACTTCACAAGCCAACAAAATATTAAACCATATAATTTTCTCTGCAAAGAGACATATTATATTTGTAATATATATATAAAAAACACTTCCCAAATTAATTAACTATCTGAAAACCTTACAATTCATCTTTCTTGCAGAAAAAATATTTCCCAAAGAAAAAAATAACGTGGAAAATTTTGAAAAATGGTTTCCTTTCATCCAATATCTATATCATTGACTACACGTGTATTTTCAACCACCCTATAGAAGTTGGTATGTGTCACCGTATTGTACTTGTATATTGCTTCTGTTACAGAGGCGGCAGAGTAGCCTAGTGGTTGAGTGGTAGACCCGGGTTCTATTCCCCACATTGGTACTGTGTGTGGACCTGTCTTTGGTGCTCCCTCTCCATGATATTGCTGGAGTGTTCCTCAAAAGCGGCGTTAAACCATGTTCACTCACTCACTCACTCACTTCTGTTACAATAATATGTTTGCATCTATGTAACTATAGGAATGAATAAAAAAACAAATGAAAAAAAAACAAAATAAAAACTCAGGTCAACTCTTATGAGCTTTACATGCTTGAAGAAACATACGGTCCTCTTGTTCCAGAGATAATATCTATAGCAAGCATAGCATGTCAGGTACGATTTGACCAACCTCCTCTAAACGTCTTGCGTAAATTCGTGCAACAATTTGGTTGGTATATGATTACATATCATACAGCTGTCATGGACACCAGTCTCCAGGTGAGATGTTAGTGCTGATATAAAGTGTTGAGGATTATCCCGGAACATGTCAGCAGTGATAGAATCTGTTTTGGCCTCGATTACGTTTGTATTCCGTTTGGGTGAGTGAGTGTCACACTTTTGCAGCTATTCGAGACGTGAAATGTCTTGTTTTGCAAGATGTTAAATACAACAAATGAAGTTCTTCACCCGTGAAGATCCGGGTTAAAATTGATCTTCCTTAATATGTCATCATACCAAATTGCGTAGATCGATGCTCATGATGTTAATCACTGGATTGTCTGCTCCAAACTCGATTATTTACAGTCAGCCGCCATATAGCTGGAATATAGCTGAGTGGGGCGTAAAGCTAAACTCACTCACTTATGAATATCTTCAAGGCATTTAGAGTGAGTGAGTGAGTGAGCGAACAGAAATTCAGAAATGAAATGTAGCCAGGTGGGGCGAAAGCTGAAATGACACAGGCATTTTGTGGTTTGTTTGTTTGTTGTTTCAGCTATATGGCGGCGGTCTGTAAATAATCGAGTCTGGACCAGACAATCCAGTGATCAACAACATGAGCATCGATCTGCGCAATTGGGAACCGATGACATGTGTCAACCAAGTCAGCGAGCCTGACCACCTCGCCTCTTACGACAAGCATAGTCGCCTTTTGTGGCAAGCATGGGTTGCTGAAGACCTATTCTACCCCGGATCTTCACGGGTCCAAGGCATTTAGAAGTTGGACAAACATGAATAAGCAATATAAGTTGTTATCCATAACGTGTCATGTATTCAATACACACGATGTTAGAATCACGGTCAAATATCACATTCAAGAGTAAATATGTTAGTGAGTTGGGTTTTACGCCGCTTTTAGCAATATTTCAGCAATATCACGGCGGGGGACGCCAGAAATGGGCTCCACATTTGGGAAATCGAACCCGGGTCTTCGGCGTGACAAGCGAACGCTCTAACAGCTAGGCTACCCCACCGCCCCTGATTTTCAGTAACCCATGTATGTCGTGAGAGGCGACTAACGGGATTGGGTGGTCAGGTCCCCAGTACCACACCGACCTAAGAGCACTTTAAAATATCACAAACATTTCACCACAGACAGTGGAGTCACGTTTTACTGACACGTAGTGTCATTTATCTTTTCGTTAATCAAACCTGACACTATCACTGTTAATTCGATTCTCGCTGTGGGACCGAATATCCTATGTTAGATGTAACGTCAGATTAAAAAGGCCATGGGTAGCCTAGTGGTTAAAGTGTTCGTTGGTCACACTCAAGGCCCGGGTTCGATTCCACACATGGGTACAATGTGTGAAGCCCATTTCTGGTGTCCCCCGCCGTGATATTGCTGGAATATTGCTAAAAGCGGCATAAAACTGGAAACTCAGTCTTTATCTGATCCTTGGGGGTTATTGGTTTGGCTAAACTTTTAAAATATCAGTGTCTAAAACTATAATCCCTTGCTACAGACTAATTGGTGTCAAGCACATTTTTCTGCAGCTTTGTACAGGTTGCGCCCTCAATCCAGGTCCATACCCGCTCCATCACCTTCGATAGCGATCCCTTTCTTGTCAGGTTGAGTTACATCTGCATCTGCAGTGGTTAAAGCGTTCGCTCATCACGCCGAAAGCCCTGGTTCGATTCCCCACTTGGGTAAAGTGTCTGAATCCCATTTCTGTTGTCCCCCTCCCGTGATATTATTGGAATATTGACAAAAGCGGCGGTAACCCCAACTCACTCACTCACTCACTCCGTAGTAATAGCATGAGTGACTGATCCCCAGGGAGTTGAGATTGATAATACATTGTGCCGTTTGAGACTGACATCCAATGATCGAGGGAAAAACAAAGCGCCTTTGAGCAGGTGATCTGGATATTGGCGCTATATAAATATAATTAAATATAAAAGATATATAATTATTACCGATAAAACAACCATACGCCACTACAACTCCCTCATTCACTTAAATTCCTAACCGGTGTAATCGTTGGTCATGATGCTATTAAACCATCAATTATATTATATAATACTTCACCCATGAGTGTGAAGTCCATTTCTGGTGTTCCGAACCGGAAGTGATGTTATTGGAACCCATTTCAAATGTTAATGTGAAACGAAGGCTAAAATCATACAGGCATCTTATGAAGCTCATGAGCAAACAGACAGACATGAGTTGACAGACAAGAACGAAGAAACATTATCAGTGAGAATCTTGAACCTTCAACAGACATCGTGAGATACTTGTTGTCGTGTATGGCGCACCTTTGACTTGTCCACAGTTAACTGAAACTCACTGAGAGAATGACCCATGAAATGACGGTGTTGATTTCCATCATTCTACATGTCAAGTGCAAGTCTGGCTTTCTTCCGACTTTATCAGGAAGCCTGTTTAAGCCTCCTGTGACTAATACTGCTTCCGTTGGTAGCCCTGTACAGGTTGCGCCTCCCAACCCAGCTCCTGCACCCACTCCAGCACCTATCGTAAACCCTTTCCTCTCCGGTGGATTTCCATCTGCACCTGCGCCTGTGCCTGCACCGGCACCTGCACCTTCATCGAGTCCTCTGTCGGCAGCACTTTCTCCAACAGGTAGGGATAATGATATTATGTTATGAATCATATTATAAAGTCGTTTTGTTGGAATCTGAAAACGCAGGGAAAAATTGATGTTGTTCAGGTATCGCTTTGTCAATTTATTTACTCATAAAAAGTTCCAAAATTCAAGATTGTAAAGATGTAAAGACGTAGGTATTACTGATAAAAGCATCTTTCTTATTAAACTTTTGGGCAGTGGTCCTAAAGATGCTGAGATTTCTGAAGATTTCTGAGACTATAACATGCTGTGTACGGCACAAGATCCTGTTCACATTCCTAAACCTAATTCAGAACAGATTTATTTACAAACAACATCATACAGCTGTAATACTGCTGAAACAAATATCTACTCATGATATAGTCACAATTGTACACGCTCTGCCTTTGTCAGCTGAGCGCCTTTGAGCTGAGCGCCTTTGGCAGCGCCATTGAGCAGCTGAGCTGAGCTGGATATTGGTGTTATACAAATATCATATAACAATAACAATATTTCTTATAAATGTGGAAAGGGTTTGTCGCTCCTATTTACAATCAACCTTCTGAGAGTAGAAAGATGAAACTGATTTGAATCCTATCGAGGGAACATTTACAAAGTTGGACGGATGGAGTGATGGTGTCTTTATTGGTTTTCTTTTTTCTTTTCGTGAACACCTGGTATAATTAATAATGACTCTTAAACACTTGCTCAGATAGGAATTATGAAAACGTTTTCTTCCCTCTACTTGTCATGAATAATAACTTAAATAACACGTTAATATTACGTTTATGGATCTATCGTGTTTGAAGGATGATTGAAAGTCTGAAAGAGAATAAAACTCACAGATTCAACTCACCTGGTCGAAAGTGCAAATTCCGCAATGTTGGGTTGAAGACTGGAAGCCAAATACTAATGCTGTAACATTTCAATGGCTAATCAGCAAAATTTAACATGTTTCATTTAGTTTCTATTTAGATATGGGTGTGTGTTTAGCGCAGAGATAATATGATGCTATCATTTTTAATGTACTTATGATCAATAAGTTATTATTTGATACTTCAATCTGGAATCAGGAAACAATTATGCTTAAGGAGTTCTTCTTATTTCAGGCATAGCTCCATCACCAGCACCGGCTCCATCAGGAGATGCACCACCGGAAGGATTTTTTAATCCCACCAAAACCGACAAGACGCCATACAGCCAAATTAGTACGAATCACGTCATGAACATGAACTTTGGTATCAATATGGATGTGTCGTTCATCAAACGGGTTGAAAACAAGGATGACAAGTACTGTCAAACACACTGTCTGGACGACTTGCAGAACTGTGCAGTCGCTGTCCATTGTGACTGGAGTGCTCCCACAACTACTGCAGCTCCGTGCACTGGCAATATATTCCAATGTGGAACTTTCAGCATCAATCGTGGAGGCAGTACCACTAACAATGGAGTCTGTTTGTTCTTCGAAAAGAAAACAGGTTCCGAAGACACCGATCCAGGAGTAACATCAGAGTCAAATTGCAAAGAAGTAATTTACCGTAAGTTTTTGTATGAATTGACTTCAATTCAATTCGTTATATTTATCTGAAATCAAAGTTAGGATTATCAGTCAAACTTTCCTCATCTCAAGAGATATTATCCAAATCTTACTGACACCGATCCAGGAATAACATCAGAATCAAATTGCAAACAAGAAATTTACTGTAAGTGTTGTTTTGTGACTTAGTTTATGGCATGCATATGTTAAAGGTCACATGAAACATAAAACACAACTTTGCAGATTCTGATACCTTTCGATATGGACTTACCGAAACATATAATGAAAAATGCAAATTCAACTTATAAAGTTGAAAAATAACGCGATGAAAAAAACCGCGCGAATTCGGAGTTCAAACGATTCACTAATTTTCCCCAGACTTTTCGGGGGAAAACTGGTTTCAACAGCTGGGCTGCGCTCATAGCACGTGCGCAGTGAAATAGGTTCACGCAGCTTGGAAGTGGGTTGTCCAGTGAATACTCGGTGAAGGCTTTGGTGTAAGCTATTTTTCTAATGTTTTGTTGATATTTCACAGGCGCGAGCTTTCTATATGTTATGACAGTAGATTAACTGTTTATATAATTTCATTTGTCTATTTCACCAGACGTTCTTCTTACCGAGTCACTTTCTCAGTTCGATACTTAAAAGCAATGTCATTATTTAGCGTTGACAGATTTCAAACTGTGATATAGATATGTCGTTATCACAGACAAAACTCAATGTCTGTTTTATTGACACCTATGTGTCTGCCTGCCTGTCTGCTAATGACCATATTCAATACACAACTGCGATCACTGACCACATGCAATTTGAACTTAACACCAATCAGTCTATACACCATAAACAAAATGCATTGATTTATGGCCCGAGTTCGGTCTCTGTCACATTATGTAATTACACAGACAGGCAGGTGTGATACTTGTACACATGACATGTTATGATGTCTGTTGATTGCAAAATGTTATACACAAAAAATGAGCATGTATTTACAAAACCCAGCATCTCTATATATACACACACAATGAGCCGTGAGGGCATCTGCAAATGAACCAGCCGTTACACTTGAGTGCACACCCACCCGCTTTGACTGGGTTCGGTATCCCGGCTGCTTCGTTTCTTGGGAAGTAAACCCAAGTACACAATATTGCACTTTTGATTTGGGATTGTACACTTATAATTTTGTTTATATGTTTTTTCATAACCAGCAATGTATATTATATGTCATGAATAAGTGATAATTGTGTTTTAATTATGTTTGATTTTTTGGTTGCATGTGACCTTTAAGTCAGTGCTCCTTACTACAGGTGAGCTGAAGCCTTGCATCATATTCCGATATCAGGAATGTGCGTCTTATACATATTTCACAAAAACTCATATCAAATGTGAGCCCATTATTCTCTGCAGAACTCAGAACTACTCCAGCTTTTAAACACGATGAATGACAATCATGGGAAAAATTATTTCAAATCGTGTAAATCCAGCAGTGATATCATGTAGGTAGCAGAAGTGTGGGTGAGTGAGTTTAGTTTTACGTCGCACTCAGCAATATTCCAGTTATTTGGCGGCGGTCTGCAAATAATCGAATCCTGTAAATATCACTTCTGATCCTTCCAGCCTGATGAAGGTGAACTTTGGCTTGCATTGTCTTCTTACGATGCCATCGTACTTTGTTCAGATCATTGTTATTGATAGGATTTCTTTTACAATCTAAAATAATCGCATATAAAGATTTGCCTGTATATGAGTGATGTTATTAAGTAGGCCAGTTTTCAAAAACCAATGCTGTTGATGAAGTTCACATGATATATGGCTTTTGACTTAGATAGGAGGACTTCAGAAACGAATGAACGACACAGTCGTGAACATGACGTAAATGCTGCGCACGACATCCACAATATTGGACTAGAAATTCTTCATGCGAATACACGCGTAATGTTCGTAAATCATCACTTGGAGATTAGGGAGAGGGTTAGTTTAGTTGCTATACGTTTGCTCGTCACTTCGTAGATTTTTTTTTCGAGTCCCCTTTGGGGGAAGATTTATGAAAACTTTTCAGATGTCAAACCTGAAAACGACGAGCACGTGGCAACTTTTTTGTACAGCTGCATTTTTCAAAATTGTACAAAATGTTGATCCTTTTTCGAAATTGGATTTTTTCAGAGGAAAGCGAAGCTTGTGTCTGTTGAAAATATAATTTAATAATGATTCAATAATTCAATATTTTAGCCTGTCACACATTGATTGACTGGTGAGTGTTACGCTACTGTACTGTGGTGCTGTACAGTTTATTTTCGGAATCGCTTTTGTCACATAGTTATCAGTACTATGAGAAAATGAACAAAATGTATGTTGTGTTTTTCGTTGTTAAACTTTCCAGCATGTTGCTTTTTCGTATCTTACAGACCCGACATGCAGGGACTGGACTGTTGGCGTCCCCGACCACTGGGTTCCAACCGGCAGACCAACCTTCCAGACAGGGGCAGCAGTGTCCCGTAGCTTCTTGTGTGAAGAAGGCTACCAGAGGAGCGGCGTGTTGAAAGTGACCTGTGACTCCTCGGGGGTGAAGACTGCACAATTGGGGGCAAGTTGTACAAAACCTGGTAGGTTGAAGTATAAGGGTTTTATATTATTCTGTCGGGCACGGTGAGTCAGATTATAAAGTTACCAGCGGCAAGAAAATCATAAATTATCCTAAATCTATTTTTTATCAGAGTGCGCTAAACAAAATGTACCCTATACAAGAAACGCAAAAGTGGATTTCAGATGTATTTTGTATTATATCAATAATCAACAAAACCTAATAAATTGTTCAAAGTTTACACGTACATTCCATTTTGGTGGCCGTACTTTATTCTACCTGCACAAAACCCTCGCGATGCATGCAGGCATGAGGAATTCAAATTTGGTATTCATTCTATATGAATGTCAGCAAATATCTGTCAGATACTTTCAAATACATTATCTGTGCACAAGATATGCTATACAACCTGTGATTATCTTGTGTGCTCAAGATAACAGCTTATTTGTACGCACTTTCCAGATCGAAAAACGAAAGTCTCCAGCACTGGAAAAACTGTTAGTTTTACGGGTTTTGTTAGTTTTGTGGCTTTTGCTGCGTGGTTATTAAGGATAGTTTCTCACATGCTTTTAAAGATAAAATAAGTAAGATGACGCATTGTGTCTGAATTGAAGACAACGCTCTTCCGTTGTGGATGGACATAGAACAGGTATGAGTAAGTGAGTGAGTATAGTTTTACCCCGCTTTTAGCAAATATTCCAGCAATATCACGGCGGGGGACACACATTACACATTGTACCGATGTGGAGAATCTAACCCGGGTCTTAAGCGTGCCGAGCCAAGGCTTTAACCACTAGGCTACCCCAACGCCCTAAGAACAGGTATGCCGGTACATATATCAAGAAAGAACCGTATTCCTTGTACTGATACATACTCAGGTTAAACAGATACTCAATGTAATGGTTACACGAAGTCAAAGAAATTTGACTCTTATATTTTCTGTGATGAAAAGACATCTCCGGCTCTGTAAATGTTATATGATCGTAGTTATATTAAGGCATACATATCGTCGACTGAAATCCAGAGTGTTCAATGTCCACTTTTGGTGAAAATTGAGTTAGGAAGCTCAGGGCAAGTTTTCCTATATTCTATCCCTAAGCAACAATTCCCCGTGATATATAGCCTAGAAAGTGGTTTTACATTGTTTTATCTCTATAAAATAACACAAATTGTTAGTTCTAGAGTATTCTAAGTGGTTATTGGACCAATCAGCAAATCCAGTTTGATCACGTGACATGGAGATGGCACAATCTGGAAGTTCTTATCATCATAATAGACATACAAATGGAACATTGGAACATTGCCCTTATTTTTGATATATTTAATGTGATTTGTAAGCTATGAAACTAAAACAAGTTAAAACAAGCGTACGGGAGAAATAATCGTACAATAATCGTACAATAATGATCCAGCTGCATTTCTGATACATAGAACACTCTGGTTCTCAACAAAATTACAAATCTATTTGGCCGAGTGTTCTATCTCCAAGCGTTTTCTTATTTAAATCAAGAGCTTTAACATATTTTTGGTTATTTTCCAAGTCTTTTTGATATATCAGATATATGTGCACAATTCCAAAGAATTTGAGCCAATAGTTTTGAAAATATTGTTGTTTTAAACTTCAAGTTCGACTTTCTCGAAAATGGGTATTTAGGACCTAGTACACTCTGGTTTTCAGACAACTATATATGTCCATTGGTCACGTGAGCACTTACCAACAATGTTCGCATCCCGGAACGGCGATTGTAAAATTGGCTTTTGTTCATATGAACAATGGCTTACTTAGAATAAAAAACTTCGTACTGTTGGATTGTTCCAAAATGCTTTTTGGAGAACATTCACAATACTTAAAGGGCACACAATATATTGTTTTTGTGCGCTCAAGATACACATTTTGTAAACTTTCTGCACAAAACCTTCATGTATCTGAGAAAGAATTTCATTTGCATGGGGATGTCGATGAATTTGTGATTGCGTTTCATCGTATGGTTGGGTACATATTATTATAACAACCGCGTTGTGTAGACGCATTCTACAACAGTGGAATCGTTCACATACTGACTAGCACACAAATAAGTGTCTGTTCCTCAAACCAAATATTGTGTCGCTGCAGTAGCTCGGGATTTATAAATAATCTTTTACAAATTGAAACCTTCTCTTTTGTCAAGAAATGAAGTTAAACACAAACATTGTCATTGCAGAAGAATCCACTAACACAGGAGGAGGACTACCCACCATTGATATTCCTGTTTTGCCGCAAGTCAACTCATTTCTAAACAGACCTTTACCTGTAACGACAAGAAAACCTGATACAACTAGTCTCACTACATCGAGCACCACAACAACATCGCCTACTACCAGTTCCACAACATCGAGTACAACTACAACATCGCCCACGACGAGCACCACTACATCCAGCACAACTACAACATCGCCTACAACGAGCGCCACGACCTCAAGTACCACAACATCACCTACTACCAGTTCCACAACATCGAGTACAACCACAACATCGCCCACGACGAGCTCTACTACATCCAGCACAACTACAGCATCGCCTAGTACGAGCTCCACTACATCTAGCACAACCACAACATCCCCTACGACGAGCTCCACGACCTCAAGCACCACAAAAACATCGCCTACTACCAGTTCCACAACATCGAGTACAACCACAACATCGCCTACGACGAGCTCCACTACATCCAGCACAACTACAACATCGCCTACAACGAGCGCCACGACCTCAAGTACCACAACATCACCGCCTACTACCAGTTCCACAACATCGAGTACAACCACAACATCCCCCACGACGAGCTCCACAACATCGAGCACAACTACAACATCGCCTAGTACGAGCTCCACTACATCTAGCACAACCACAACATCGTCTACGACGAGCTCCACGACCTCAAGTACCACAACAACATCGCCTACTACCAGTTCCACAACATCGAGTACAACTACAACATCGCCCACGACGAGCTCCACTACATCCAGCACAACTACAACATCGCCTACAACAAGCGCCACGACCTCAAGTACCACAACAACATCTCCTACTACGAGCTCCACTACATCCAGCACAACCACAACATCGCCCACGACGAGCTCCACAACATCCAGCACAACTACAACAACATCCCCTACGACGAGCTCCACTACATCGAGCACCACAACAACATCCCCTACGACGAGCTCGACTACATCCAGCACAACCACAACATCCCCTACGACGAGCTCCACAACATCGAGCACAACTACAACAACATCCCCTACGACGACCTCCACTACATCCAGCACCACAACAACATCCCCTACGACGAGCTCCACTACATCCAGCACAACTACAACATCTCCTACGACATCGACAACTTCAACAACGAGCAAAACAAGTACAACAACGAGTACAACAACTGCTGCTCCAGACTATTTCTATTTTATGGCTTGTCAAGATTTTACTATAAATGCTGTTACTAAAGAAGAAGACTGGAAAAGACATTATATCGATGACCACTACTGTCGTTACTATGCTGAGCATATGTACAATACATACTATCCCCACGTTTATTGCTATACATCCAACTGGAACTCAAATAGTTGGTTCCTTAAGAATGATTACATATTTCTATATATCTTTGACGAGGACCGTAAAGGTAAACAATGTCAAGACCTTTGCCCTATGCTAGTGGATTGGATGAACGATTATGGTATGGGAAGCTTGCTTACAATTGACACCAGTGTGACATGTTATTACTACGGCGCGTATCTCAATTGGGTTGATAATTATTACTACTGGTTGGACTACATACATTACGGGTGACAACATGCACAGTAACTTATACAATCTGACGTTACATGCAGTATTTGGATCAGTCTCTATCAATTTAGATATACAATATTTTTCAATACGTTATGTCTTAAGATTGTTGCATGCTTTAAATATAATGACAGGTGTAAATAAGGGGTTTAGAGGTCATAAAATAAGGGAATGCAATTTCTGGTGGTTTTCTGAAGTACTTTTGGTACATACAGAATTCTATGGTTGTTAAGAGTAGGACATGTAAAGACATTTCCTTAAATTCTGATAAACAAGCAAACTAAGGAAGACAGTTTTTATGGATGTCAATTTCTTTATCATGAAGAACACAACGTTTCGGAGTACATCCTTATTTCTTCATCAGGTGAATGAATGGTATGACGCAGAGAGCATACTATTTGATATGTACATTTAAGAACAACAAAAGTAATAATACTTCAGAGATTCAGGTTAAATTAAACAATGGAAGCCAACGGTTAACTGGCGTTGATATGTGAATGCAAAGTAGAAATGCAACTGTTGGCTTCAATTGTTGTCCTATGACTTTTGTTGTTCTTACATTTCTCTGCCTGATACCATTCATTCACCTGATGAAGGAGTAAGGATATATTACGAAACGTTGTGTTCCTCATAATAGAGAACTCTAAACGCCATTCAAAGTCCTAACAAGCAAACTGTTCACAAACTGAAAAAAATGGAATTATTAAAACGATCTCAGTGTTTTCCATGCTCAAACATATCAAGACTTGCTCGAATACTAGGATTGGAAATAGGTCGTTTTTCAAGCCTTTTATTCGGGTACATTTTAAACATTGCATGAAGGACAAAATAAACAGTTAGGTTTTTCAGTGAATGTAACTATCTCCGCTATACATACAGGTTATTAGATACACAAAGCATGTTGTAGTTGTAGTATTTTAAGAGTGCCCTTAATAATACACTCTAGAGTTACTACTGCTTTGACGACCAAAAATACAAATGCAGCAAAATGTTTCGTGGACCATTTTGAAGTACATTCGTAAGAAGGACTTGAGAAACAAATGACAAGACGAATCTCCCTCCTGGTATAGCTGGTGAGCTTCACTTTTAAGCTTAAGACACTGGTTAGCCTGTTGAAACACCACAGATGTTGGAAGAATTTGAATTTTGTACGACGAATAGAATCTCACGTTCGCATCATCCAGGAGGGTATCAAGCCTTGTTGATGAATAAGTGACATGTGCAACTTTGACCAATTTGTCTTGATACATGTATTCTCGCAAGATACACGGGGAAATTGGGAACTATATCCTTGAATATATACATTCTGCTGATGTGCTTTATAAAAATGGAAAAAACCCATTCATATACATACACGCATATCCGAGTGAACGTAGAAGATACATTTTTACCCAAACTCCAAATATATTTTTCTTCAAAGATCAAATGTATTATCTCTTTTCGTTTATAGGCATTGGGTTTCAAAAACTTTAGCACCACTGTATCAGGTATCACAACTGTTGATTGCTATGATTCTGATGCGTTTACATAAATTATTTTTGTAATAGAAAATAAATATCTAGGTTTTTTTGGGTGATTTCAATAGAGGTTATTTTGGTGCATTGGAAATATTACAGCTTATCGACGCAACATTTGAATGTTCAGTGGAATCAAGGTGTTTTACAGTCTTTGAGAATCCATGGGGGTCAATTGGTAATGTAACAGTATAAAAGTGTTCCTTTCTGGGTCTATTTCCTGATATTTTGGTACTGTAACATATTTGTAACTTAACATGTATATTTAAAGACATAACTGAAATTTAATCACAGTAAACAGTTTCTTCAAAGTGTGTACTGGAGATATTGATTGTTTTACACTATTTGATATCTGTGAAATGGAAAATAAAATTACCAGTTTGCAGCCGTTTTATGTTTTTCGTAATAAGTCAATGAGTGAGCAAGTTTAGTTTTGCGCCGCTTTAGCAATATTCCAGCAATAGCACGGCAAGGGACGACAGAAATGGGCTTCACCCACTGTACCCATGTTGGGAATCGAACCCGGGTCTTCTGACCGAAGAGCGAACGCTTTAACCACTTGACTACCTCACCCCCCTTTACTTAATGACTTTTTCCTTGGCCGATGACTGAGCGTTTGTTGGCCATAAAAAGTAGTGTTATTGTCTGTACAGTTGAAATTATATAACATGCATATGTCTCAAAGATCAAGAAATTGAGGATTGAATTCTTTGCAATCAATCCAGATGAAGACGTGGCTTGAAGGCCGATGTTCATTACCTTATAAAACAACTAGTAAATAGTTGTTATCATGATATGGATACTATATATTTGTAAAACCTAACTCTTGAATGAGATTAGATTACGTTGAAAGTGGAGTTCAAGTAATTGCCCATTTACAAGTGTCGTCATTTCACAGAAATATTGTCATTTTTTAACATTAGTTATAACCCAATATATGGTAGCAACTGGTTGTCGATCTGGACAAGAACTGGCAATACCCTTGTGCATTGAGTGTTTGTTGACCATAGAAACAGTGTGCAAGATTAGCTGGATACATATATACTCATGGAAACAAATACGGGAACACATGAAAGTAAAAGTGTTCCTTTATTTATTTCCAGAACTTCACCCACAGTGCAATGCATACCTTGTGAAGAAACCGGAAAAAGAATAAAGTAACACTTGTACCTTCATGTGTTCCCTTATTCGTTTCCATGAGTATGTATAATTGGTATTTGATGAAATATATATGATCACTCAAAGTGGAATGTCAATCGCATTGCATCAAAGTTGGTGACCTTAACAAAAGGTCATTCTCTTTAGAGGTCAAATTATGTAACACGTCTGAAAGATCACGAAAACTAAGGTCTTTGCAATCAGTTCAGACAAACTCTAAATCTCTAAGTCGAGACGTAACTTGCAGGCATGAAGTGATTATCAAGTTATTATCCTTTTTCAAGTGTCGTCATTTCACAAACACTTTGACGTTGTATTTTCAGTGTGTGAGTGAGTTTAGTTTTACGCCACACTCTGCAATATTCCAGCAATATGGAGGCGGTCTGTAACTAATCGAGTTTGGACCAGACAATCCAGTGATCAACAGCATGAGCATCGATCTGCGCAATTGGGAACCGATGACATGTGTGAACCAAGTCAGCGAGCCTGACCACCCGATCCCGTTAGTCGCCTCTTACGACAAGCATGGGTTACTGAAAATCAATATTCTAACCCGGACCTTCACGGGTATACAATACAAAGAGTGGTGAGAATTGGTTGTCGATCAATACTAGACCTGGCTAACCTTGGCTTGCGAATTTCCTCACAACCGTTCAAGGTGCCATGCTACAGGACATACTGCATCATGGTTTCAGTGACCTAACACACTATAATATCATCTACTATTAGTGAGGGGGTGATCGGCTTCCGCATAAAGTCAGACGTTTCGGTTGAACAAGATCATTTCTAGTGAGTTTAGTTTTTCGCCGCACTCAGCAATATTCCAGTTCTATGGCGGCAATCGGTACATAATCGAATCTGAACCAGACAATCCAGGGATCAACAGTATGAGCATCGATCTACGCAATTGGGATGCGATGACATGTGTCAACCAAGTCAGCGAGAATGACCCCGATCCCGTTAGTCGACTCTTACGACAAGCATGGGTTACTGAAGATCAATTCTACCCCGGATCGTCACGAGGCTCATCTAGTATGAACTGAAATGCACGTCCCGATATAAATGATTACGTTTTAATGCTGATTTCAGTTCACTTCCAAACAAGCAGAGGATATTGTGTTTTTGGTTAATAGTTGTCCTAACCAAGATTTATGATTGTATAAGGATTTAGAAAACAAACAAGCCAAAAGACAAAAGACATGGTTGGGGTACAATTCGAAACATGTGAAGCCCATTTCTGGTGTCCCACGCCGTGATATTGCTGGAATATTGCTAAAAGCGGCGTAAAACTGAACTCAGTCACTCACTCCAACTGTAATACATTGTACATGTGATGTCCAGCGAGGGGCAGATTTGTGCTGTATATAGACAGGATACTGGAGTGTGCTACAACCCTCTAGACATCTCCAGTGATGCCGATTCCAGTGCAGAAAGATCTCGTAGTGTTTTCTTATTTATATAAAGGGAACTAACTCTTGTCTCGCATCTCACATTACATCTTAAGCCACAAGACAACAATCATTTCGTGTGACAAAGCATATTTTGTTCAGCCATAGTGATATCTTTGTACTGATTTTTTACCATAGTAAATTTTAGAGTATTGCAATCTTGTCTTACATCTATGAGTTTTTTAATGTGAGTTTTAGATGACTGTATGGAAGGTATTGGTCCCCAGTTGGAGTGTTTATTACACATGATCGTGCACATGCCTGGTGCATTTGTTGATCCAATAGCAAGATAGTCTGTCACCAATTGTAATGCAAAGAATATTATATGTTCAATATTGATGCCATATATGGCCACAGTATGACCTGTGGTTACCTATAAAAGTAAGATCGTAGTTAGGTAGCAGAAGACGTCAGGCTTTCGTGATGGTGCAAGTACTATTTGCCTTCGTTGTCCTTCTGGCCTGCACTCCAAGCCAGTCTGGCTTTCTTCCGACTTTACCAGGAAGCCTGTTTATGCCTCCTGTGACTAATACTGCTTCCGTTGGTAGCCCTGTACAGGTTGCGCCTCTTAATCCGGCTCCTGCACCCACTCCAGCACCTGTCGTAAACCCTTTCCTCTCCGGTGGATTTCCATCTGCACCGGCACCTGCACCTTCATCGAGTCCTCTGTCGGCAGCACTTTCTCCCACAGGTAGGGATAATGATATCATGTCATGAATTATATTATAAAGTCGTTTTGTTGGAATCTGAAAACGCAGGGAAAAATTTATGTTGTTCAGTTATCGCTTTGTCAATTCATTTACTCATAAAAAGTTCCAACACATGTTTTAAAGTGCTTCTACAAAGTTTCAAGATTGTAAAGATGTAAAGACGTAGGCCTTACTGATAAAAGCATCTTTCTTATTAAACTTTTGGGCAGTGGTCCTAAAGATGCTGTGCAGATCCTTGATCGTGACTGCAAACCTGCTCATAATTCTTGCTTTGTCAGCATCTGTCCAGTGATCATATGTTTCACAAAAGTTGTTCATGCCTTCATATGATTGAAGTTCATTTTATATTAGTTTGTCCGTATTTTCACAATTTAAGAATGATATATATCCCTCCATTTTACAACATCAATCATTGTGAATATAAATTAAATATCTATCAACGTACATTTATCATGGGTTCAACAATAGAAAATCTGTTTTAAACATTATGTGACTGTACACACTTGTATTGTACTATAGGCCGGTGACCTCTTCAGTACCCTGAATAAAAGAAATTGAATTGAACTGATTGAAGTTCTTTTCAACGTGCTAGATGTAATTCCCGCACTTGTTGTGTGCTGTTCATGATTTAGATATTTAGATATTGGTGTGTGTCTAGCGCAGAGATAATATGATGCTATCATTTTTAATGTACTTCTGATCAATAAGTTATTATTTGATACTTCAATCTGGAATCAGGAAACAATTATGCTTAAGGAGTTTTTCTTGTTTCAGGCATAGCTCCAGCACCAGCACCGGCTCCATCAGGAAATGCACCACCGGGAGGATTTTTTAATCCCACCAAAACCGATAAGTCGCCATACGGCCAAATTAGTACGAATCACGTCATGAACATGAACTTTGGCATCAATATGGATGTGTCGTTCATCAAACGGGTTGAAAACAAGGATGACAAGTACTGTCAAACACACTGTCTGAACGACTTGCAGAACTGTGCAGTCGCTGTCCATTGTGACTGGAGTGCTCCCACAACTACCGCGGCTCCGTGCACGGGCGGGTTTTTTGAGTGTGGTGGAACTTTCAGTCTCAGTCGTGGAGGCAGTACCACTAACAATGGAGTCTGTTTGTTCTTCGAAAAGAAAACTGGTTTAGAAGACACCGATCCAGGAATGACATCAGAGTCAAATTGCAAAGAAGTAATTTACCGTAAGTTTGGTATACGTTCACTTCCTCATTATATTTATCTGAAATCAATGTAAGGATTATCAATCAAACTTTCCTCATCTCAAGAGATAGTATCCAAATCTTACTGACACCGATCCAGGAATAACATCAGAATCAAATTGCAAAACAAGAAATTTACTGTAAGTATTGTTTTGTGACTTAGTTTATGGCATGCATATGTTAAGTCAGTGCTCCTTACTACAGGCGAGCTGAAGCCTTGTATCATATTTCGATATCAGGAATGTGCGTCTTATACATATTTCACAAAGACTCATATCAAATGTGAGCCCATTATTCTCTGCAGAACTCAGAACTACTCCAGCTTTTTAAACACGATGAATGACAATCATGGGAAAAATTATTTCAAATCGTGTAAATCCAGCAGTGATATCATGTAGGTAGCAGAAGTGTGGGTGAGTGAGTTAGTTTTACGTCGCACTCAGCAATATTCCAGCTATTTGGCGGCGGTCTGCAAATAATCGAATCCTGTAAATATCACTTCTGATCCTTCAAGCCTGATGACAGTGAACTTTGGCTTGCATTGTCTTCTTACGATGCCATCGTACTTTGTTCAGATCATTGTTATTGATAGGATTTCTTTTACAATCTAAAATAATGGCATATAAAGATGTGCCTGTATATGAGTGATGCTATTAAGTAGGCCAGTTTTCAAAAACCAATGCTGTTGATGAAGTTCACATGGTATATGGCTTTTGACTTAGATAGGAGGACTTCAGAAACGAATGAACGACACAGTCGTGAACATGACGTAAATGCTGCGCACGACATCCACAATATTGGACTAGAAATTCTTCATGCGAATACACGCGTAATGTTCGTAAATCATCACTTGGAGATTAGGGAGAGGGTTAGTTTAGTTGCTATACGTTCGCTCGTCACTTCGTAGATTTGTTTCGAGTCCCCTTTGGGGGAAGATTTATGAAAACTTTTCAGATGTCAAACCTGAAAACGACGGGCACGTGGCAACTTTTTTGTACAGCTGCATTTTTCAAAATTGTACAAAATGTTGATCCTTTTTCGAAATTGGATTTTTTCAAAGGAAAGCGAAGCTTGTGTCTGTTGAAAATATGATTTAATAATGATTCAATAATTCAATATTTTAGCCTGTCACACATTGATTGACTGGTGAGTGTTACGCTACTGTACTGTGGTGCTGTACAGTTTATTTTCGGAATCGCTTTTGTCACATAGTTATCAGTACTATGAGAAAATGAACAAAATGTATGTTGTGTTTTTTGTTGTTAAACTTTCCAGCATGTTGCTTTTTCGTATCTTACAGACCCGACATGCAGGGACTGGACTGTTGGCGTCCCCGACCACTGGGTTCCAACCGGCAGACCAACCTTCCAGACAGGGGCAGCAGTGTCCCGTAGCTTCTTGTGTGAAGAAGGCTACCAGAGGAGCGGCGTGTTGAAGGTGACCTGTGATCACTCAGGGGTGAAGACTGCACAATCGGGAGCTAGTTGTACAAAACCTGGTAGGTTGAAGTATAAGGCTTTTATATTATTCTGTCGGGCACGGTGAGTCAGATTATAAAGTTACCAGCGGCAAGAAAATCATAAATTATCCTAAATCTATTTTTATCAGAGTGCGCTAAACAAAATGTACCCTATACAAGAAACGCAAAAGTGGATTTCAGATGTATTTTGTATTATATCAATAATAAACAAAACCTAATAAATTGTTCAAAGTTTACACGTACATTCCATTTTGGTGGCCGTACTTTATTCTACCTGCACAAAACACTCGCGATGCATGCAGGCATGAGAAATTCAAATTTGGTATTCATTTTATATGAATGTCAGCAAATATCTGTCAGATACTTTCAAATACATTATCTGTGCACGAGATATGCTATACAACCTGTGATTATCTTGTGTGCTCAAGATAACAGCTTATTTGTACGCACTTTCCAGATCGAAAAAACGAAAGTCTCCAGCACTGAAAAAACTGTTAGTTTTACGGGTTTTGTTAGTTTTGTGGCTTTTGCTGCGTGGTTATTAAGGATAGTTTCTAACATGCTTTTTAAAGATAAAATAAATAAGATGACGCTCTTCCGTTGTGGATGGACATAGAACAGGTATGTACAGGTGAGTGAGTATAGTTTTACCCCGCTTTTAGCAAATATTCCAGCAATATCCCGGCGGGGGACACACATTACACATTGTACCGATGTGGGGAATCAAACCCGGGTCTTAAGTGTGCCGGGCCAACGCTTTAACCACTAGGCTACCCCATCGCCCCAGAACAGGTATGCCGGTACATATATCAAGAAAGAAACATATTCCTTGTACTGATACATACACAGGTTAAACAGATACTCAATGTAATGGTTACACGGAGTCAAAGAAATTTGACTCTTATATTTTCTGTGATGAAAAGACATCTCCGGCTCTGTAAATGTTATATGATCGTAGTTATATTAAGGCATACATATCGTCGACTGAAATCCAGAGTGTTCAATGTCCACTTTTGGTGAAAATTGAGTTAGGAAGCTCAGGGCAAGTTTTCCTATATTCTATCCCCATGCAACAATTCACCGTGATAAATAGCCTAGAAAGTGGTTTTACATTGTTTTATCTCTATAATATAACACAAATTGTTAGTTCTAGAGCATTCTAAGTGGTTACTGGACCAATCAGCAAATCCAGTTTGATCACGTGACATGGAGATGGCACAATCTGGAAGTTCTTATCATCATTATAGACATACAAATGGAAGATTGGAACATTGCCCTTATTTAGATATATTTAATGTGATTTGTAAGCTATGAAACTAAAACAAGTTAAAACAAGCGTACGGGAGAAATAATCGTACAATAATGATCCAGCTGCATTTCTGATACATAGAACACTCTGGTTCTCAACAAAATTACAAATCTATTTGGCCGAGTGTTCTATCTCCAAGCGTTTTCTAATTTATTTCAAGAGCTTTATCATAGTTTTGGTTATTTTCCAAGTCTTTTTGTTATATCAGAAACACAATTCCAAAGAATTTGAGAGAATAGTTTTGAAAATATTGTTGTTTTAAACTTCAAGATCGATTTTCTCGAAAATGGGTATTTAGGACCTAGAACACTTTCGTTTTCAGACAACTTTTTATGCCCATTGGTCACGTGAGCACTTCCCAACAATGTTGGCATCCCGGAACAGTGATTGTAAAATTGGCTTTTGTTCTTATGAATAATGGCTAACTTAGATTAAAAATCTTCGTACTGTTGGATTGTTCCAAAATGCTTTTTGGAGAACATTCACCATACTTAAAGGGCACACAATACATGTATATTGTTTTTTGTGCGCTCAAGATACACATTTTGTAAACTTTCTGTACAAAACCTTTATGTATCGGAGAAAGAATTTCATTTGAATGGGGATGTTGATGAATTTGTGATTGCGTTTCATCGTATGCTTGGGTACATATTATTATAACAACCGCGTTGTATAGACGCATTCTACTACTGGACAACAGTTGAATCGTTCACATACTGACTAGCACACAAATAAGTGTCGGTTCCTCAAACCAAATATTGTGTCGCTGCAGTAGCTCGGGAAATAAATACTTTTTTACAAATTCAAACCTTCTCTTTTGGCAAAAAAATTGAGGTGAAACACAAACATTGTCATTGCAGGAGAATCCACTAACACAGGAGGAGGACTACCCACCATTGATATTCCTGTTTTGCCGCAAGTCAACTCATTTCTAAACAGACCTTCACTTGTAACGACAAGAAAACCTGATACAACTAGTCTCACTACATCGAGCACCACAACAACATCGCCTACGACGAGCTCCACGACCCCAAGCACCACGACAACATCGCCTACTACCAGTTCCACTACATCCAGCACAACTACAACATCGCCCACGACGAGCTCCACTACATCCAGCACAACCACAACATCGCCTACAACGAGCGCCACGACCTCAAGAACCACAACAACATCGCCTACTACCAGTTCCACAACATCGAGTACAACCACAACATCGCCCACGACGAGCTCCACTACATCCAGCACAACTACAACATCGCCTACGACGAGCTCTACTACATCCAGCACAACTACAACATCGCCTACTACTAGCTCGACTACATCCAGCACAACCACAACATCGCCTACCACGAGCTCCACTACATCTAGCACAACCACAACATCGCCTACGACGAGCTCCACGACCTCAAGTACCACAACAACATCGCCTACTACCAGTTCCACAACATCGAGTACAACCACAACATCGCTCAAGCATCCCCTACGACGAGGCTCTACTACATCCAGCACAACTACAACATCGCCTACTACGAGCTCTACTACATCCAGCACAACCACAACATCGCCTACCACGAGGCTCCACTACATCCAGCACAACTACAACATCGCCTACGACGAGCGCCACGACCTCAAGTACCACAACAACATCGCCTACTACCAGTTCCACAACATCGAAGTACAACCACAACATCGCCCACGACGACGAGCTCCACTACATCCAGAACAACTACAACATCGCCTACAACAGCGCTACGACCTCAAAGTACCACAACAACATCGCCTCTACCAGTTACATCCAGCACAACCACAACATCGCCTA